CCCCTTCCCCTTCCCCCCCTTCCCCTTCCCCTTCCCCCCTCTCTCCAGTGTTTTGTGCGCGCGCATCGTCATAGCAAGTTTATGCACGTGATATTTATAGTCGGATGTTTGAATGTGACGAATATGTGGTGGGTTTAGGCGGGGGTGGGGAGGGGGGAGGGAATGGGGGCAGAAAGGGGAGAGAGGGAAGTGGCGAGGAGGGCGGAGACGAGGGCGGAGAGGGGAGTGCACACGTGTGGTACGGTGTGGTCCCCCCCTCTGCCTCCCCCCGGCGCTGCTCGTATGAATGGGAGCGGCGGACGGAGCGCTCCTTCCGTGCCTGTCTCTCGTGTCGTCTGGTGCCCCCCCCCCCCCTCTCTCTCTCTCTCTCTCTCTCTCTCTCTCTCTCTCTCTCTCTCTCTCTCTCTCTCTCTCTCTCTCTCTCTCTCTCTCTCTCTCTCTCTCTCCCCTCCCCTCCCCTCCCCTCCCCCTCCCTCTCCTTATATATATATATATATATATATATATATATATATATATGTATATATATAAAAAATGTGTATATATACAGATACATACATACATACATACATACATACATACTAGAGTGTGTGTGTTAGTGAGTGTATGTGTGTGTGTGTGTGTGTGTGTGTGTGTGTGTGTGTGTGTGTGTGTGTGTGTGTGTGTGTTAGTGAGTGTATGTGTGTGTGTGTATAAAGAGGAGGGAGGTGTTAGCGAGAGCGTGCACCGGGGACGCCCCTGCGACCGGCCGTGAAGCGCCGCGTCGAGAGGGCCAGTGGTGGAGGGAAGCGAGACTTGGCGTGCGGGCGGGGTTTGTACGGCGCCGCCATGTGGTCGTGGTCAGGAAATAGGGGTGAAGGGGGTAGGGGAGAAGGGGAGCCCTGCCCCTATGCTCTTCGCCCCATCGCCGCCGCCTCTGCCGCCCGCCGGAGGGCCGCGCGATGGTGAACGGGTGCCACCGAAACCGATCGGAAATGCCGCCGTTATTGCCACCAGATCCGTCGGCCCTCAGCCCTCCTCTTTCCCTCCCTCGCCTTGCGCCTGCGCAGACAAGCATTGCACATGTCTTCCTCCCTCCCTTCCTCTCTTCCTCCCCCTTAACTGTTCTAGTATTTCTGTGTTGGTATGTAGGTGTAGTACAATGGGTGTAAGGCGTTTTTGTGTGCGTGTGCTTGTTTCTTTGTTCGAAGAGAGAGAAGAGAGAGGAGGGATGAGAGAGAGGGAGCGAATAATCCGTACCCCGTGACCTTCTCGGCGAAAAGTCGGTACCTGCTTGAAGTGTTCTAAATATTCCTGGCGACGCGTGAGTACATTCCGCCCCCGCCCCTCGAGACTCGCCGGATGTGCCTCGCCCGTCCACGAACGAACCTGTCGCGCGCTGTACAATACGGGCGGCGGCGTGTGCTCGTGTTCCCGGTGGGGCGATGTACACTTAGCACACGACGGCGCGTACCCCCTTTTGTGGGACCTGCGGTTTGCGCTGCGAAGATCTTTTGTGGGTGTCTGCGTCTGTTGAGGGGGAGGGGGGAGGGAGAGGGGGACGGGGAAAGCGGGCGTATGCATTTGTGCTTGTGTGTGTGTGTGTGTATTTGTGTCTCTCTGTCTGTACGTGACTTTGTATGCGTTTGTGTCTGTCCCTTGTGTGTGTGTGTGTGTGTGTGTATATGTATGTGTGTGTGTGTGTGTGTGTGTGTGTGTGTGTGTGTGTGTGTGTGTGTGTGTGTGTGTGCGCGTGTGTGTGAGTGAGTGAGTGTGTGTGTGTGGGAGCGAATGAGCGAGCGAGCGAGATCTTGCGTGGGTCGCAAGGCACTTGAGTGTTAATTGAGGGGCCGTTCGTGGGTCTCTCGGTGCGGCTCGCGATGATTCACACCAGAAACATCCGTATCATTGTGGCCGACGTTCCTTTGCTCGCCCTCCCTCCCCCCCTTCGCGCCCTCGCCTCCCTCTCCTCCTCCTCCTCCTCCTCCTCCTCCTCCTCCTTCTTCTTCCCCTCCTCCATCCCTTCCTTCGTTGTCATCCTCGTCGTCGTCTTCCCATTTTTTCTTGCTGCTTCTTCGTCGTCGTCTTCTTCCTCTTCCTCTTCCTCTTCTTCTTTCTACACCTACCCCTTCTCATTCTCTATCTTCTCCTCCTCCTTGTTTTTCTTGATATTTTTCCTCTTCAACCTCTTCCCCTTTTCTTCTTTACCCCATTTTTATTATCGTCGTCGACCTATTATTATTATTATTGTTATTGTTGTTATTATTATTATTGTTATTATTATTATTATTACTATTATTATTATTACTATTATTATTATTATTACTAATATCATTATTATTATTCGTCTGTCTCTTCTTTATGTTTTTGCCTTCCGTTTCCTCGTTTTAGCTCTTTTCTGCCTGCCGTTTTTTTTCTGATATTTTCTCATCTTTTCTTCTTCGTTTGTTCCTTTTCCACATTATTTTTCCTGCCTCTTGCCTATCTTCAGACCGTCTCCTTTCTTTCCCTTTTTTTATCTCTACCGAGTGCTGCTTCCTTTTGTTCTTTTATTTATCCTTCTCTGTTCTTCCTCTTCCCATTTTTTGAAGTTTCGATCATCTATCCTTTTTCCTCTGTTTTTGTCGTTGTCTTCGTTGTGGTTATTATTGTCCTATCATCTTCGTCCAATCTTCCTCATTATCATCTGGAAAGTGTTTGGAAGAAAGGGAAAAAATATTAAAGAAAGTAGAAGGAAAAGAAACGAAGATGAAGAATATATAAACATAGAAAATATAATCAGAATGAGGAACGAACTTGCAGTCAAAAATCGATAAATAAATGGATAAGTAAGTAATTGAATAGGTAAATAAACATAAAAATATAAGTAAATACATAAAGACAATTTTACCGGGAAAACGTGTGGAGGAAATGCCATAGGTGGATTGGCCAGGTGAACTCAAGGCCGGGTCGGGGTGGGGGAGGGGGAGGGGGGGTAAATTGGACTGGGGGCGGGGGTGGGAGTGGCGGGTGAAGGTGTTTCTTTTTCTGGTGTTTTATTGGATAAGTTGATTTTGTGTGTGTGTGTGTGTGTGTGTGTGTGTGCTTCGGTTCTTCTGTTGTATTTGTGTAGTGGTGTGCTTGCATGTCTGTGTATGTGTTCGAGGGTACGTAAGGATACATTGACGTATAAGGGAGAAACGCATGCGTGCGGTATGCGCGTGTTACCATCGTCATAACTACCAGTGTCCATACTATGGCGCGCTCCCTTCGCGGAACTAGGACGAAGGAGAGGTTTGTATGGGCCACTCCCTCACCCCTCTCCCCTCTCCCCTCTTTCCCACTCTCTCCTCTTACCTCTCTCCCCTATCCCACTCCCCCCCCCCCTTTCCCCTCTCCCACTCCCTTGTTCCACTCCCTGCTGCAAGGGGTTGCAAAGGCATGCCATTGACTGGGGCAGCAATAAGGGGTATGGAGTACAGGGCAGGGGGTAGAGGAGGCCATGCATTGGAGGTCTTTAATCTCAATTCCCTAAATTGGGGTAACGCTCTCTAGGCTAATGGTGAGGACCCCCTAGGTGTTGCCCGGTTGGACGTAGGGGAGGTGGCGTAGTAAGAGTAGTAGTAGGAGAGAGAGAGAGAGAGAGAGAGAGAGAGAGAGAGAGAGAGAGAGAGAGAGAGAGAGAGAGAGAGAGAGAGAGAGAGAGAGAGGTAGAGAGAGGGGGGGGGGGGGGGGAGAAAGAGAATATTAGTTTGTGTGTGTGTGTGCGGATAATTGAGGCATTGCGAGTATAGGAGAGGATGGGAGCGGAGACGAAACTAAGCAATATGAGGAGGAGATGAGACGAGAGGAAAGAAGGGAGAGCAGAGACGAGAAGAGAGAGAGGAGTGGCCGAGGAGAGGCGAACGAGTGAGCGAGGCGGGAGGGAGGGAGGAGGGAGGAGGGAAAGGGAGTTACCATTACACGGGTAACGGTTGCCGGTAATTGCATGGTGACCGCACAGGCAGCAACAATTACTGTCCAGCTGTTGCACGTCAGGCGGTTGGCTGGCCGGGCTGGGATTGGCCGGGATAGGATGGGATTAGCTGGGATAGGGCGGGGTGGGCCGGGATAGGGTGGCGTTGGTGGGGATAGGGGTGGGATGGGCAGGGAGAGGGGGGGGAAGGGGCCGATCTGGGTGGGATAGGTTAGAATAGAATGGGATGGGCGCTGCTTGGGACCCCAGGCTGGCGACGTCGAAGCTTTCCTTGTCTTCGCTGTTCATTGTCGTGCGTCCGGGCTTACTCCGAGGCTGTGTGCCATTTCGACTTCCCTTTCCTGCCTCTGGGTTTATCCGCTTATTTCGATGTCCAGCTTTTTAATTATATTCGTGTTAGTATTGACATTTCCGATTGATTCATTCATTATTTGTGTGTGTGTGTCTGTGCTCGCGCGCGCGCGCTTGTGCAAGGGGCTGACGACGGCCACGGCGATATGCTTCGCTGGTCGTTTCCTTCTCACGGCGCCGATCCTCTTGCTGTTCCCGTTGAACTCTTGCTGTTGCTGTTTCTGTTGGCTCGCTTGCTGTTCCTGCTCCCGTTGTCTTGCGGTTGCTGCTTCCGTCGGCTCTTTTGCTCTGTTTACCCGTTGTCTCTTGCCGTTTCCGTTGTTTCTTCCTGTTGCAGTAGCTGTTCCACTGGCTCTTGCTGTTGCCGCCTCTTGTCTAATGTTGCCTTTCCCATCGACGCTTTGGCTGACTTTGTGTTCTGTTGCTGTTACTCGTTCTGTTGCTGCTGTAACTGCTGTTCCATTACTCGCGTTCATTATCGTTCTTGACATGTTCGTCGCGATCATGGTCATCATCATCATCATCGTTGGTGTTGTTCATAATTACTTTTGAACATAACGTTATTCTTGCTAATCTCCTCTCATTATTATTTTTTATCTTTAGAAACACAATAATTACTGTCAGTAGTAGTTGTAGAACTGATAGTATTTATTAATATATATTTTTTTTATTATGATTAATATTTGCTCACAATTTATTTTATTTCTCTTCACAGGTAAGTTGCAGATGGAGGAGAGACGATTAGGCTGGTATGAGGTAAGAGAAAGAGAGGAAATGTTATTTTATTGAGGGGGAGGGACTTGAAGAAGAAGGAAGAAGAAAGAAGAAGGAAGAAGAAAGAAAGAAGAAAGAAAGAAGAAAGAAAGAAGAAAGAAAGAAGAAAGAAAGAAGAAGAAGAAAGAAGAAGAAGAAGAAGAAGAAGAAGGAGGAGGAGAGGAGGAAGAGGAGGAGTGATGAAGATCAAGAAAAAAAGGGGGGAGACGGGGGGAATAGTTGTGTTTGGGTGCAGATGAATTTGTTTGTATTTCTTTTTATTTTGTTTCCTTTCCTTTTTCTTGGATATTGAAAATAAGGGAAGAAGAGAGAGAGAGAGAGAGAGAGAGAGAGAGAGAGAGAGAGAGAGAGAGAGAGAGATGGGGGGGGGGGGAGAAGAGAAGGGATTTGAGCAGATAGAGAAGGCGAGGAAAGTGTAGGCTGATGCAAAGGGGAGGAGACTAGGGTTGGGAGAGGGGGGGGGGCGTGGGGAGGGGTCGTGCATGGCAGCCTTGCTGAGCGCGGTTGCTGCCTCAAGGTGAGTGGCTTCCCATTCATTCGCCATCCCCTCCTCTCTCTCTCTCTCTCTCTCTCTCTCTCTCTCTCTCTCTCTCTCTCTCTCTCTCTCTCTCTCTCTCTCTCTCTCTCTCTCTCTGTCTCTATTTCTCCCTCCCTCCTTCCCTTACATTCACCCGTTCCCCTCTTGTCCCTTCTTTTCCTTTCCCTCTCATTCCTTTCTTTTCCTTTCCTTCCCTACTCTTCG